CCACCGCGGGCTTGTCCCTTAGGGGAGCACGGTGGTCCTGCGGGGGAGCAGCGGCAGCCCAAGGCCCAGGGCCCAAGGTCAGCACTATGCGGGGAGGCGGGCGTCCTTCTGCCTTTGGAGATTCATTTGCCTTCCAGAGATGTTAGGCCGGTGCTGGGGTGCTGGCTGTGCAGTGAGCACCGCAGCTGCCTGCTGGGAGGATGTGGCCCTCAGGTCCCGACCTCTAGCTTGGTGTGTGTAGGGGGCACACAGAGCCCGGGGCAGCCCCGGCTTAGAATCAGCCTCAAGGGTGTGAATGGTGGGCTTTCCTGGCCGCTGCTGCTCCTAGGAGGAGAAGATGGGAGGAATAAAGCGACTTGCAGAGAGAGCTGGGGACGTTAGCAAAAACAGTGCCTCTCTCCCTAGTTTAAAAAATACAGCTCTGTTCTTGTTAGTCTCTTCCTAGAGATGCGCACACAAGCGAGATCTGCCGCCCTTAGAACTTCATGAGTGACTTCTAATTTTAGCTACATTTAACACTGCTTTATTAAATATTAATGAGGAAACCGTTAGTGTTTTGCCCTTGAGATTTGTTATGCGATGCATAACACGAGTCGGTTACCGCATTGTTATTTTTACCCTGACTTTAGTGTGTGATTTGTGCTCTACAGTAGGACTGTCGCAGTGTTTTAAAAAGCACGCCTCTCTCTAAAATAAAATATATGTGCATATATAAAAATGTATTTGAATTTTAAAAGAAGGTGCATCTGTTACTGGTGGCATGTAGGTCTGGCTGGTCTGTTCGGTTTGACTGTGAAAATCCCTTTTGCTGCTTAGTTTATGGGAATGACCCAAATATGCAAGTAACATTGACAATATGTAGTTGGGGCGTTCTTATTATCAAATCACATTAGGATTTTTCTTTCCAGGTGCCTTCTGAGTGTATTGACTTAAGTGCAGCACTTCTGAGGGAACAAACAATGAGTATAATCCATCACACACCCTTCCTGCAGCCTTGATGTGTTTCCCAGACACTGGGCCTTGAAGGACTAATGCCTTGGTATTAAATCCTTGTGCATATCTAGTGGTTTCCAAAAGTTTTCTTTTGTGGAAGGATTTGCAGATTAGATTGTCAGCTGATTGCTAAAATTAGTTTCTATTTGTTATTCTGGAATATTGGGCTTATATGTGGAAAAAGTTCAGAGTTGAGCTTTCTTTTTACAATGCCTCATTGGTTCTAGCACTATATTTATGTGAAAAGGTATAAGTCATTATGTCTAAAAAGAGAAAAAGTGATTTTGGATTGGGTCTTATTATAAATGTCAGTGGTACTTTTCTATTAGGTACCAAAATTTCAGGGAAAAAAAACCCCTGAAATCATTTTTGAAATTTTGAGTTAATTCTTTTTAAAAATTAAAAAAATTTTATTAGTAGGTGTTTGCAGCACACAGTGATGACATTCATTGTGGAAAATTGGTGCATGGATAAAAGACATCTCATTCCTTTTTTTTTTTTTTTCTCTTGCCCTGCAGTCCCTTTCAAAAATTTTTTGTCAGCATTGGATGCATTTATTTTAAGTCTTTATTCTTAGTTCATTGAAAAAAGTTTTGTGCCATTCTTTATTTTTCAGTAGAGATTCCCCTTTTAAATCTAGGAAGTGCACATCAATTTTATTACATTGATATTGTTTTGATTAATTGTATTATTATTATAGTAATAGTAACTTTTTATGTTCA